TGGTGCCGATGTTGTGGTCACCACAGGGGGAGTGTAACGATGGTTATTGCAGTGGTCTGTAGACGGGTCGCCGGCGGCTCTGTGTCTATCCTAACGCCCGAAGGGATGAAAGGGTCGCTGACGGGTCACCTATGGCTCTGTGTCCAGACTCACCACTCATACACTCCCCGCCTCTTCACCCACACGACTGTCCCCACGCTTTAGTGGGCCGTCGGATGACCGACAGTATCGGTCACCCGATGCCCAGCGACCCACTGGTCGTATCGCACCCACTGATCGCCCTCCAGAAGACCGCCTGTGGGGTCGAACCACTCCTCGCTTAGCGGCGGTCTGTTAGACAGTCGCGCTCTCAGCTCCTGGTCCTCGTCGAAGGCCCGACACCACTGGTCGTATCCATCGCGCCAGAGGTCGAGAACTGACAGCCACTCGTTGTACGTCTGCCACCATATGGCCCATCGGTAGCGCCACTCCTCTGGCGACCGGTTGCCTGACATGTGCTCGCGCGCCAACTCCCAGTACCAGTCGAGCCACAGGTCGTACTCCTCGTCCCACTCTTCCCAATCGAGGACCCAGTCGTCGGGCCCTAAGCCCGCAAAGCTGACGGCCGCCGACTCGAGTATCTTCCTGAGCCTCACATCGCGGACACCGTTGTGGTGGTAATGGGCGCCACTGCTCTGGACTGGTGTCCGCACGGGTGGCGAGTATTGGGTGCCACTGCTCTGGACTGGTGTCTGGACGGGTGGCTTGTATTGGGCGCCACTGCTCTGCACTTGTGTCCGGACGGGTGGCTTGTATTGGGCGCCACTGCTCTGCACTTGTGTCCGGACGGGTGGCTTGTATTGGGCGCCACTGCTCTGGACTGGTGTCCGCACGGGTGGCGAGTGTTTGGCGGCACCGCTCGGCACGTGTGTCCGCACTGGTGGTGAGTATTGGGCGCCGTCTGGACTCGACTGCGCGTATCGCTGACCGCTTCTCATTTGGTCTTTGCTTCTCTCGGGAGTGAAGCCGTCGTACTCTCCGTACAGTCCGTACTCTTTGCCCCTCAACTGTCTCTCCAACCGATCCAATCGTAACCGCAATCTAATCGCATCCAATCGTTTCATCGCGTTTTCCATCTTTGATCGCTTGGATGTTGCACTCAATTGCACTCAATTCAACTCAATTCAACTCAATTCAACTCAAATCAAAGTTTTCAAAGTTTGAAACACTTTTCAAAATTATTGTTTGAAATTTTGTTTCAAAATTTAGTTTTTGCCAAAAATTATAATTAATTCAATGAAAACTGCATTCAATTGTTGTTAACATTAATTCAAACTTTTATTCGAAGTCAAACTATAAGTACAGAGAAATTGATTGTCATTTTAAAAGCTTATATAAATGTCTAATAAAAATGATAATTATATTAAGACAAACATCTGTTTGGCAATCATTTCTTGGGATCAAACAAGTGATGATTTAATGGTTTGCGAATCAGCGAAATTAATTAATAATAATTTATTGAGTAATAAATATACGTATGTTATACAATATAATAAATAAAGTGTATATGTGTGTGTGCAAATTTTGTATAGTTTTATGTAATTCATTATAAAAATTAATAACTGTTTAATTTATCAAAATTGAGATAAATGTTTGAAAATTTATTAAATAATAACCGAGAGTTAAAAATATATCTAATTATTTTCAAACAATTAAAATATTTTTAAATACTTTTTAAACAATTTCCAAATTCAGTAATTAATTGATTTCTAATTAAATTAACAGTTTTATCGATAAAAATCTAAAACTTCAAAATTCAAAACGTCTTAAAAAACTTAATCAATTGTTTAACAAAAGTTATGCACAAAATATATCACAAATAAAGTGCTTCACTAATGGTTTTCAATGGGTTTTTGTATTTGAAACACAATTAGTGCTCATTAATCGCATTGATTTTGTTTGTATTCAATAGTTAATGAGTTAACACACATATAGTAAACAGGCTATAAAAGTACACTATAGTAAAAATATAGGGTGTGTTTGCAATTAGCGGCTATTAATCTATTTTAAATCATGTATATAATGATTATTAACATGTTTTCACATGTTTTAAATTGCTTTCCCCACAAATCAAAGCAACCAAAGAGTAAATCAAAGCAAAAAATGAAATAAAAAATATGTTTTCAAATAAATTCTGTACTAAATTCTGCTCTCAATTCTGTGCCACACATTCCCAGAGAAATCGTTTATTATTATAGGGATTACAACACTATTTACCATTAAAAACACACACAAACACAATGCACAGCATCTATGATAAACTCTTGGGCGCAGTCCTACTAGTGGTGATCGTCGCGGTGGCCATCGATGGTCGTGGCGTTAAACGAGATGTTGAATCCGTCGACACTATGGATGAGGGCCTGGAAGACACCGCCGATGGTAATGATGATAATATCACAAGTAAAAGTTTTACATCAATTTAATCTAATCTCAATTTATTGGTTCAACCGATTAGAGCCGGACCGGGACGACGACAGTCTTCGACGTATGTCTTAAACCGTTGTCTTACATGTGATAAAACAATTGTCTCATAATATTTAACCGCAAACTATAGCCACAAATGTGATAATACGCGAGAATTATGTCGATTGCGTGAACATCAACAGCGATGTCGACAAATTGTGGGCCAATTTTCAGGTGATAAGTAACGAGAGTTGTCTAACGCTCTATCGGTTCGCCGCCTTCGAGATCACATACGATGTCCTCTTCAAGAACGGAGCCACCGCTCAGACACTCATCCATCTGGAGCTCCAGGACAGCGAACGGACCAACGGTATTGTCAATGTGTCCACAGTTTTATGTCTCTATCACTATAGCTGATCCGCAAATGTCATTTCTCTCCCCTCCCCTCACCCGTTGACACCACAGATACAATTGCCGTCACACTGACCGGCAAAGTGGTGTCCGGCTATCTAATGGGCGCCCACTTCCAGAGCGTAACGGTCTACCCGGTGCTGTCGGACCACCACTGCCTCACCGAACCGGGCATCACATCCCTGCGGTCCAACTCGGCTTCGGTGACGTTCATTCTGTTGCCGTCGAGTCAATCGCCAGCCGCGGCGGCCGCTGAAGACTCGACGGCCGCCAACGAACTGCGGGTCCGATCGGAGTCGCGGGCGACCGAAGCGTTCGACTGTTTCGGCTCGGCTTCCATCGAATACAGTCCCGGATTAGTCGACTTCAAACACCTCAACGACGACTCGCCCGACGTTTAATCATATGTTTATAACTTATAAATAAATATCTTTTTAAACTAAATTAAAAAATTTAATAAACAATTTGTAAATTTATTGTAAATATAATACTATTTATTAATTTTGTTGTAATAATCAAAGAGTAATATACAGTACATTAACGGTTAAACTCGATGTTGAAAACTAATTGTTCTCATAGAGGAGTTATGGCACACAAAATGATTTAAGTTTTTGAAAAACTTTATGCAAATTATTGAAAATTATTTTTGGAAAATTTATATTAGTTTTAATTTATCGATAGTTTTTGTTTACATTAGTACTAAAAATAGTCTCAAAAATATCGCTAATTTATCGGTAATCCCATAAAAAATAAATACTCTGTTAATTAGGGCCTGTTTTGAACACATGCTTTGATTGGAAAAAACTAATTATAATTAGTTATAAACAAAACACACATTTAATTAACGGTACACTACATACAAATGGGTTCGACCCTAACCCCCACCCTCTGGTCATTGATATCTCAATGAATAGACACTAAATATTGAGTATAGTGTCAGTGGATATACCGATGCGGTCGGGCGGCGGCTGATCCGCACCGTCGGCGGCACTCTTCTCGGCCAACGCGTCCACAATATCTAACAACAACTCACGGGTCAGGTCGCGGAAACGCGAGAGTCGGACCACTTTGGGGAAAGTCTGGACAATCAGATCCAACGCGTGGCGCTTCATCTCGTGGGCGCCGATCCGGTCGGACGCCTCCAGAATGGGTATCACATTCTCAAACGTCACGTTCATCTCGAGGTTCTGTTTGCAAAACGTCTGGAGCCGAGTGTTGGTAAAGCCGTAATAGTTGGGCGCAGTGAACAGGTATAGGCTGTCTTCGGGCGGCATCGACACCTCTCCGCAGTACACGTACCGCAATAGTGTCTCAAACGACTGGACCGACGGCACCATTTCGCCGATCGTCACCTGAACGGTGTTGTTGTGCGGCGGCATCGACCGGAACATGGCCTCGAAGTAGGCCGACCGCGCGGCCAACACCGACTTGTGCGCCATCAACGGGTGTGTGGCCACCATTAGTGTGATGTCGCAGAACTCTTTGCCCGACGCCGTCAGGAATAGTTCCATGTCTTGCTCTAGAGTAGTGCCGTAAGTGTTGGCGGAGCCGTTCTTCTGGCCCCCACTCCCGGAACCGTTGCCGCCGTTAGTCTTATCCGAGCGCCCGATGCCGGCGAGGTTTGTGGTCGACGACTGCGGCGATTGTTTTAACGCCGGGGACGACGAGCCGTCCGGACTGTTCCCAAACGCCGACAAATTCTTCGACACCTGTTTCCGGCGTATAATCTCAACCATTAATGGCTGCGACAGTGTCTCAAACTCTCTGCTCATTACAATACACGAGTAGTTGATGTCTTTCACAATGAATTTCATGCAAAACTCCTGTGGGATAACAACAATACAAAAATCAATTATCACTTTAATTGATCCCAAAAAACAAAACAAAAAGGATTATTACTTTAATGAAATCCAACTTCAATTGCGCGGCGTTTTGAATGGCGACCAAAACATTGTTGTGATTGATGGCGGCGTTCAGGTATAGGACGCACAGGTGCTCCAGACGTTTCATCTGGAAGCGCACGGCCAGCGTATAGACGTCCATCATTAGCAGCACTATCTTATTGCTCAGTGAGTCGGCCGCGGCGTTCGTACGGCTCGGGTCGACGCGATCGGTGTAGATATAGTTGAGCACCAGTTCCAGTGCGTCCGGATTCACGTTCTTCAGGCGTATCTGAAGGCGCGGTTTGTCGTCAAAACTGCTGTGTCGGCCACCGGTGGCCGCGGGCGGTGTCACGAGACCGGACTCCAGGTTCATGTCTTGTGCGGCGCGTATTTTGTTCCGCAAATAGTGGGAACGCGCGGCGCAGAAGGCTATGTGCGCCGGGATTGTGGCCTCGCGTGGAGGGCTGTCCGTACGGGTGTCGGCGGTGACAGTGTCTGTCACGACGAACTCCAGGTCATAGAAGTTGGTCTCCTCTTTGGCGGCGGCCGACTGTTTGCGCTCCAGGAGTCGTCCGAAGTCGTCGTGAAGCGTACACTTCGGGTAACAGCCGAACTGAAAACGGAACAGTTCGCTGCTGCGGACGTTGTTGTCAACGGTTCCGCCAAAGACATACATGCCGTCGTCGATGACGGCCGCCGCGTGAAACAGACGACCCGACGGTATCTCGCTGTCCAGCGAGGGCTGAACCACTGACCAAGTGGTCGTGTCCAAGTCGAAGCTGCGTCAAAATGATCATGGTTAATTATTTGTATCATATTTATGGTACAATTAAGCGCTTGAATACCAGTGCAAATCGCTCGGTAGTGTGGAGTCGGCCGCACCGCCAAACACGTATAGATGCCGGTCGTAGGCAACCATTGTGTGGCCGTACCGTCGAGTGGGCGGCGGCGGCGCCCCTCTCAGTATGTGTTCAGTGGTGGCGAATCGGGTCCAACTGTTCCCATAGATCAGAGATCAAGAGGTTTAGAGCAATTAAACCGCAAAATACATGATAACATTGAATGCATTTTGAATACCGTTTGTCTTTGAAGTGGAACTGAAACAAATCGTTTGTCATTTTAGCGCCCGATTGGCCGCTGAAGAGAAACATCGAGTCGCGCGCGACCACAACCGGGAAGTTGCAACACGTGGGCGGACAGTCGCCGCTCTGCTGCACCTCTTCCCACACGCGGTGATCGCTCGGTCCGGTCAACGCTATTGTCCACATGTCGTTGAGGCGGGCGTTGCCGTCATAGCCGGCGAATATCCATAGTTTGTGGTCATAAACGGCGCACCCGTGAGCCGATCGCGGGACAGGCATCGCGCTCTTCACGTCCGACTTCCACTCATTCCAGTGGCCACTCGTGAACCGGTATTCGTATAAGTCGTTCCGATTGGTCAGATTCGAGTTGGAGTGTATGTCTCCCGTATAGCCTACCGGTGCGGCAGATAATGGTAATAAGACACGCGATTTGCGATCTCGTGATCAACAGAGAAAGAAAGAGTGGTTAAGACAGAGAGAGTGAAACTCACCGCCAAAGACAAACATGGAGTTCTCGTAGACGACGGCCGAGTGATGGTATCGACTGGTGGGCGGAGTGCCGACCGTAAAGGCGCGGCTCCAGGAGTTGTCGTTGACATCGAAACGAAGCAAATCGTTGAGCATATGCTTCCCATTGTCGCCGCCGAAGACATAGATGGATGACTTGTACGCCACGATCGTGTGCTTCGAGCGACGACTGCCGACAAACTCATCGCATTCGCCGCATCGGCGCCACCGGTGGACAGACTCGACGGCCCCGAAGTCGAGCGACAGATACTCGGAGGACGTGGCGAACAGCTGTCCCGCCGGTCGGTTCGCGTTCACATCCATGTCTTCGTGTGTGTGCCCTCGCGAGCGGTCGGGTGTTGTGTCCAGTTGTCCGTCGGGTCCGCGTGTGTGGGCTGTCTAGTAGTGGCCACCGATTGAAGTAACGGATCCGCTTTGAGGTGACATTTCTTGTGATGTTTTGTGTTTTTGTTGTTTTTGTGTTTACTTTTTAAATGCCATTCAATACAACACTTTCACTGTATATCACATGTTGTCTAAAGTTTTGGGCCCTTTCTATACGAGTCATTGCTTTTGTCTTAACGTTAGACACCATTAGCTTAAAAGGTACTGATTTTAGCGTTGAATTAACGCAATGATTGATTCATATAAAGCGTTACTATAATGAGTGAGTGTTTTGTTTGTCGTTTTTGAATAAGAACACGGTTTTAGTATTGAAATTACATTCATATAAGCATTTGAGGGGCAATTGAGGGACACTTTATATGTATAACATTTGAACAGTAGTTACGAATGGTTTGAAAGCATATGTTTTGAATGCAAACGTGAAGTGAATTAAAAGGCTTTAAAAAAAGTGTTGGTTTTGTTTCACAAATGATTGGTTTAGTGAGTCGTGTGAAGACATTTCGCCACCGATTGTCTTCGCTATCGCTTCCATCACTTCCACCACGACTTAGGGGCGGATCTATTGAGCGATCGTTGGATTACCTGAAGAATGTGTTCCAAGACTACCGACAAGTGTTGATTGATGTCCGACAAGAGTGTGTCGACCGGCCGTTGAAGGCGTCGACCTATGGCTCAGTCCTCGCAATCGGCGGCCTCTTTGTGGCCACGAATCCCACGGAACGGGACTTAAGGCAGCAATTGATTGAATGCCAGAACCGCTTGTCATCGGTTCCCAAACCCATACTAAACGCCAATTCATGCGATTATGTCTTAGAAATGAATCAATTGATGAACGAAAAGCTCATAAATATACAGAGTTTTGGTCTCTTTTCGGTCATCTTTACCACCGATTATGCCATCGATTGTCAACTCTTTCACAATCAGTGCTCGTATTTGAGACCAACTCTCAGATCATATCTCTTTGAACGGCTGATAGACATCGGATTTGTCGGTAAATACCGGCGATTAGACCACAAAATGATTGATTACGACATTAATCCCAACGAATGGACAACTGATTCGCAAACCATTAAATCATCACTCGTTTGATCCCAAGAAATGATTGACAAACAGATGTTTGCATTAATTTTATTGTCATTTTTATTAGAAATTTATATAAACATAGTTTTAGTAGAAATTAAAAATTACAATCAATTCATTAATTTCTCTGTACTTATAATTTGAGTTAAAATAAACTGAATTAATGTTAACAACAATTGAATGCAGTTTTCATTGAATTACTTATAATTTTAGGCAAAAACTAAATCAAAATTTTGAAACAAAATTTCAAACAATAATTTTGAAAAGTGTTTCAAACTTTGAAAACTTTGATTTGAGTTGAATTGAGTGAACACTCAAGCGATTAAAGATGGAAAACGCGATCAAACGATTGGATGCGCTTAGACTACGGTTACGATTGGATCGGTTGGACAGGGAGTTGAGGGGCAAAGAGTACGGACTTCACGACGGCTTCACTCCCGAGAGAAGCAAAGACCAGATGAGAAGCGGTCAGCGATACGCGCAGTCGAGTCCAGACGGCGCCCAATACTCACCACCAGTGCGGACACACGTGCCGAGCGGTGCCGCCCAATACAAGCCACACGTGCGGACACCAGTGCCGAGAAGTGGCGCCCAATACAAGCCACACGTGCGGACACCAGCGCCGAGTAGTGCCGCCCATTACGACCACAACGGTGTCCGCGATGTGAGGCTTAGGAAGATACTCGAGTCGGCGGCCGTCAGCTTTGCGGGCTTAGGGCCCGACGACTGGGTTCTCGATTGGGAAGAGTGGGACGAGGAGTACGACCTGTGGCTCGACTGGTACTGGGAGTTGGCGCGCG